CATCTCATTGTGACTGGTTTGTGTCATTTAGATTCTCCCCTTTGAGGGAAACAAAGATTTACAGGGCTTCATTTGAGTACTAACTTGAACACAGAGACAAAGTGGCTTAAGTGCCTTGTCCTGAATGGATGAAAACTGAAACCCTTCCAACACAGCAAAGGCTTGCAGTCCATACAACATTTACAATTACTAATGACCAATTATCTGCTAATTAAAAATAAGTGGCATTGCACCCTTACCAATGGCTGCATTAGGACATCACAACATTTCTTTATTCTAAATGGTAATTACTGCAAAGCTTAATGTAAGGCTGAGGAGGCAAAGTTTGAATATTGGCATGTAACTGCTTACAGCTGAATAACAGGAAGTGCTCAGACTGAAGAAAAACCCCATCTCTCGAATCTTATGTCCCACCTGGACATTAGTTATTTAAATCAGAATTCCAAGAAAGTATCTATAGCAACTGAGGATCCAAAACTGAAAAAGAAAAATTAGGTCCACAGTTTTTACTGTCTGAGTTTTTGCTTGTGGATTGAGAATTTCTGGCTAGTTTGTCCTTTTGATGATAGCTCATCTCTTACCACTTGCATTTTCCTTCTAATAAACTTGGAAATTTCCACAAAATTCATACTAAACCAAACTTGCACCAGAGAGGGAGCCATGTTCTGTAGTGAAGAGAAAAGGTGGATTTGAAAATGCAAGGAAAATTGTCAGATGCCTTGGCACAGTTTTACTGTGAAATTTCACATGTACCTCAAAATATTTTGGTTTATTACTTTTTGGGCATAAATTGAAATCCTTGTACTTTGTAATTGAAATCTTTGTACTTAACTTTTTTTCTATCCTGAAAAAATACACTGAATGCAGGCATTAGGAAAAGGGCTCAGGCAACTGCCTTCCTTCCATCCTACATCATACCATGGCACAGGAATGTTGTGTTCATGAAGGGATGGAGTGGCAGGAGACACCACCCAACCAGGAAGTCTGGACATAGGAGGCAAAAAGAAGCATAAGGAAGAATAGTGAATAAATTTGTTGATTCTTACATAAAAATGGGAGTCTTTGATTAGAGAATACCAAGTGAAATAATTATTTTAATCATTCTCCTCCTGAGTGGTTCCACATTACAGTTAAGAAATTAACATTTCTCTCACTTCAAAGAAAACTCTTTTTTTCTCTCCACATGGCATGAAATTCCAAACCTTGGTATAATATCCTGATCTTTTTCTCATAACAGGAAAGTTATTCTCAGAAGAAAAAGTTCTTCCTAAAGTTTTGGAGCTATCCATCTGTCTGTATTCTTCCCTTATCTAGTTTCTCTTATCTCTTATATAAATTGTGAAAAGATCTCTCACCCATATGCACAACTTCATACTTTGATGGAGTTTTAAATTTCTAATTTCTTCTATACAAGGGCAAATCACTTTAAAAATAAGCATTCTTTGGCCAAAATCACATTAAAGCACAGCACACTCAGCAGTTTCTCTCATAAGCAATGGAAAAATTTACAAGAAAAGGTAGAGGGAGGAAGAAATGAAATAAAATCAGATAAAAAAAAGATGTAAAGAGAAGCTTAAGGAAGGGGACACCATAGTTTCTCAGGGGCACAGAACAGTATGCATGTATGTGTGTGTGCAAATAGCAGAAGCTGTACAGGGAAAGAGTAATGTAAAAGAATAAAAATGAGTTGGTTCTTTTTTGCTTGTAAAATATACACTGATTTATTTCCAGTAATGATACTTCAGGCTCACCAGGAACTCAGAGTTTTATATATTGCTTTTCTTTTTTCCTCAGAACACAAAACAGTTAAAATTCCAAAGAAGCTCTGATTCAAACTGATATCTCAAGACCTTGTTAGCAGTCAGTACAGAGAATCTCCCTGTAGCATGGAAAAATAAATATTTCTGTCTTTTTGTACCAAATCAGTTTTATGTCATGCTACAGTTTAACTATTAACAGGACTGAGACGATTAATGCAACAGCAAATCTCCCAACTCAGAAAATACCCTATATTTTACACTGGGGTTTCACAAAAGCCCTCTTCTAAAACAGATACTGACAGAGACTAATAGTAGATGCTGTAACTTACTGCTGTAACCCCAGTGATGTCAAACCTCTTGAGCATCATATACACTTTATGGTAGGGTGTTATCACTATCCTTCAATGGAATTACAGTTTTGTAACTAATCTCTCCCTATCAGTTACACTACACAGAAACTGTGAAGTCCAAATACAAAGAGACCATAGGTGTGAATGATTGCACTTGAGTCTTTCCCCCCAACCATATTTCTAAGCCCCAGAGTGATAAATGGCACAGCAGTTATAAATGGGCCATAGGGTCAGTGGAACTAAAAGCTGAGAGTTCAAAGAAAAGTCACAATTCTTCAGAGTTCAGCAAAAGGCCAGAGACTGATGTTGCAATGCTTAATGATAAATGGCCAGGGTTGTTATGCTCCAGTTAGAGAAGATAGGAGATTGGCAAAGAACCATGGCAATGGGAATACTATAGCCTCAGACCATCCACATCACCTCACAGGTCTCTAAGTGTTATGGCTTTCCTGTATTAGTTTACAATTCTTCATTGACAGAAGCTTAACAGTTACAAACAAACCAGCCACAAGAGGTTCTGGTAATACAGAAATTAACCACACAAATTTAACATAAACTGAATATGTCTTCACGAGTTCACAAAACAGCTCTGAAGTGTGAGGAGAGGGACTCGGTCATGAACAAGTTATCACAGTAGACTGAAGGCCAAATCTACTGACAATTTAGGAACATAAAGGGAATAAAAAATCAGGAACTAGAATCGAGGCACACATGAGTTCAAAAGGCTGGTTCGGGAATAAACCTGAACAGACACCTGAATCTCTACCTGTGCCACTCAGAGAAGTGGAAGCCAACAGCATCTTTCTTTTGCGCAAAGGAAATCACTTTTAGACCATTTTCTTAGGCTGGATTCCAGACACACCCACATCTTTCAATACACTCTTACAATCCAAGTGAACACCCTTCCCACAAGGAGTGTTTTTCATCCTGTACTAGTGTGCAGTCAGGAGATGAAAACTGGATCTGTAAGGATTGCTGTCAGGAGGACCTGGCCTTTTGCCATTTCTGTGCAGGAAGGAAAGATAATTTAAACTCATTTAAACCTCCAATATTACTTTTATATTTTAGACAACAGACTAATGTATAAATAGTCACCATTGAAGTGAGGCCTGGAACAAATCTCCTTCCTGCTAGATAAGATTCAGATTCCAGATAGGCTAAGTTGGGAGGATCTCCAGGCATCTCTAAAAAAGATTTCCTGAACAGACCTTCCAAGTGTTTGTTCAGAGCTAAAAGCACCAGATTCCCAGAGTATTCTTACTATGATCTTCTATGGTCGAATTTTAAGGACCATGGTCTAAAACTGGATCACAAAATTGATCACACACTGATATACAGAAAGATTTGGAATTATACAGTTATGAAACTCTCAATATACAGAAAGATTTGCATTAGGAATTAAATCATGTGCATTTTCTATATCCTGCTCTCCAAAAAAACCTAAAATTAATCTTTGCTTATTACTTTTCATTTCATCTCCTCAATAACAACAACTACAACAAAGAAATAGTTGTGTGTTTAATATTTTTACATAAAAGCTTGAATGAACTAAAAATAGACACCTATTTGTCAGAAGATTCTTAGAGACACCACATGAGGAAATTTTTCATGAAACAGCTATTAAGGCTGTCTGAAAGTATTCTCCAGAGATGTGTATCAGTGCCTACAATGAAATCACATAAACAAAATAATTGGTCATCCTCACTTCTGTATTATTGCCATACATGATGGATTAAAAGTCCTTGTAATGCTAAACCAATTCAACTATAAATGAATGACTGGGACCCAAGATTTAAAAGAATTTGCTCACCTTTAGACACTAGATTTGCAATGGGAATAGGAGACACTGTTCACAATATCCAGAACACTACTTAATGCTTTTTTTAAATATGACTCTTTGATTTCCCCTATCAAATTGCTTGTTACCATGAGACTTTGCCCTTGTTTTCAGAACTTCATTAAAAATAGTACAAATGTTCTTAAGTAAAACATTCATTAGGCAGGAAATGGAGAAAGTAATTCCCCATCTCGTTCGTATATACAGACTGAACAGACTTTCTTTATGTGCTCATATAACATTTGCTAAATGAGTGTTCACTCCCTCACTACAAATACTCAATGTGTAGTTATTTGGTTTTTCACTGCAGAGTCATTACCCTTGGTTCATAACATTCCTGAACTACAATTGTCAAAGGTTAGGAAAATATTCCTGGTAAGTTTTACTGTTTGCTGGTAAGTTACACTTTCTTCCCTCAGCAGCCAGTGCTGGCAACTGCCAGGGATGGAACACTGGGCTCTGTAATCCCAGTGACCTTGGACTGGTTACAGTCCTGCAATCACACACACTGTAGAGGTTATTTTCCAAATAGGCCTTCCTTAGCAAGACAGAAAGCCCAAATGATCTATAAATTCTCTGCAACTTAAAGTGCAATAATTTAATTTAATTCTGTTGCAATCACTGAAGCATGCCTTCACACACCTGGGTACAGCATGGGAAAATCTTGTTCAGTCTGATTTTATAGTTCGGGTGGGAAGGGACCTTAAAGCTCATCTTGTTCCAACACACCTGCCAGGGAGAGGGACACCTGTCACTAGACCAGAACCCTAGCCTCAGAGACCCATCTAACCTGGCCTTGAACACTTCCAGGGATGGGACCTCCACAAGTCCCCTGGACAACCTGTTTCCGTGCCTCACACAGCAAAGAATTATTTCCTTAATAATTTCCTGGTCTAAACCTACTTTCTGTCACTTTGAAGCCATTCCCCCTGTGGTCACTACATACTCTTGTGGATTGTCCTCATCCTTTCTGTTGGCTCCCTTCAGGTAACAGAAATCTGAAATTAGACCACCTCACACCCTTCCCAGGCTGAACAATCCCAATTCACTTACCATTTCTGCATAGGAGAGGTGCTGCATCCCTCTGGTCAACTTGGTGACCCTTGACAGCAGTAACACAGGCAGGGCAGACAATGAGGCAAGGAGCAGGTGGCAGCAGTTTGATTTGAGGCCTGGACTGGACAGTGAGAAAATAAAGCAAGGAGGAGGCAATGAAGAAGACCAGAGAACAAGGCTAAAGTCACATGGATGTCTCACAACAGACTGATCTATGGGAGGACAGTTCACTGAAATAAGAATCAGTTCACAGAAGCCCACTGTCATGCAGTCATCCTTGATTTAGCCAGTCAATTTGTGGCTCACTTAGTGGGGTCCACCCTTATTTTAGGCAGGAGTTTTTAATTCACTGTATGTGGAATAGTATTTAAATTATCTGTACTTCTTTGCCTTCTTTTGCACTTCCCTCCTTTTCCAGTTCCCTCATTACCTCCATACCTTTTAGGGCAAAGCTGGGATCACACAGACAGTCTAACACCCTCCACAACCCTGATTCACTCCTAGCAGGTGATGGCAGCAATGCCTGGCATTTAGCAAGCATTCTGCAAGAGCTAGGAGGGAGGCAAGAGAGGGTCATGTGGTCACATGCCCTTTTCATTACCCTGTCAGCAATACCCATGTGGTGTTATTAGACTGCCCTACAAACTAACAGAGAAATCCTGTGGAAGTTTGACAGTTAAACAACAAGAGTCTCATCAGGACAGAAATCATGGAGTTTCAAATTTTCCTCTTCATTCACAATTGTGGCCCCAGATTTAGAACACCCTGGCTCTCAGGGCCCATCCGGCCCTCTGAGACAGAGGCACAGAGACACATCGATCTGATTTGCTCAGAATGTGATTTCAAATGACAGAGAAACATTGTGTTCAAGCTGTTCCAAAAGCAAATTCTTCTCCCTGATTCAGACGGAGGTTTTGAACTCTGATCTTCAAGATCCCAAAGCTGTAATCTGATCACCAGTTATTTTGGAGAAAGTACCTCTGGCTCTGCTGGAGCTATCCCACTTTGCAAAAACAGTGCAAAGAAGACTCTGCCTGGACAGCTGGTGGCCGGGGAGCCCCTCCACTCATGCAGGCAAGGCAGAAACATCAACGTGAACCTTAGCTTCCCGGTTGGAGCTTTCACAATGGTGTTACTTGCTATTTGACAGCCAAACCTTCTTCTGTTCTCCTCTTCCACTTGCCAATGGGTGGTCAGGAAGATTTCTTATGAATCAGATCAGGTTTCTTTAACTAGAAAATTTTCCATTACCTCCACTCGTACAAGGCAGAGCTGTGCAGGTAACCTGACAATTCCTGCCTGGAAGCACTCTGCTGAAATGAAAGCCAGAATTCAGCTTTAGGGGGGTCTGGCTTTTCCCTGACAATTTCAACCTCTGAGACAAACTGAGTAATTTTGAGAGCAAAGATCAACCTCACTTCAGAGTCTAGACATCAGAAACTGGCAATTGTTGCAAGGCAAACACTGAACTTTGAAGTCCTGCTCTTTCATTTAGTACAGCAAAAAGTTCTTATCACTCACACTTAAACCACAGTGACTTTCCTCCAAAGTGCACATTGCACTGAAGCTCTCCTGCAAAAGACTCTGAACTTTTATCTTCCATTTTGAGAATATTGTTTGAAAAAATACAATTTGGCACTTCAAAAGAGACATTTGACTTGTCCTTGTCTCAAATGATTGCCCCTTATAGCCCTTGAGCAACTGCAGCTTTGGGAGCATTTCAAAGAGAAATGCTCTACTATTTGGTATCAGAGAAAATAGTTTGAGCTACTGTAATTCCCCATTATCATATTCTTTATAAATGTAATATTGCTTAGTGAGACATACAGCTTAATTTTCTCAGCCCTATTTTTAAGCCGTGGTACCTAACATGGCTGATAGTTAAGATGAAGAAAAGGAAGTTTAATGTATTTCTTTTCATTAAATCTGAAGAAAATAATAGCTGCATCCATTTGGGGTAGGAATAGATAAAAAACATCATTAAGTTCTTAAAGCTTGTGTTAAAATGCAATCTGTTATCCTTAAGAAAACAATCATTATCTTCCATCTCAATGAAATATAATGTGTGTACACTCATACATATGTATGCCAATGCACAAAACCACACATTTTTCTATTTTAAAGTGACAGCATATGAAAACAAACACACTTTGATGTACATACTTATGCTCTAAAATAATTTACCATATTTGAAAGGCAAAAAACTCCAACAACAAGAATAAAATCCCAACCCCAAACTGAAAATTACCAATATTTCTCTTCATTTCATTTAAAACACTTCATTATCTATTCTGCTTTCTATTACATTCTCAGATATTCTCCATCTGACTTAAAACTTTATAGTAAGGTTACCAGGAGGAACAGAATCAGGTCAGCACATTAAACTAGATTTTTCTTTTACAACAGCTTCCAGGCAAATCTTCAGATTTTCCATATTATTTACAAGGACATTAAGAAGGTCTTGTGCTTTCTACCTCAGTGATTTATTCTTCCCATATGCAGATGTGGTAATTCTTTAGAAGCTGGTTAATTAAATGTTCTAGCAATAACAGTAGGATCTTGACAGACTAACTTTGATTTACCAATCTTATAAAAAGTCTGTCCTTACCTTTCAGAATCTGACTTTGCCATGGGATGTACTAAATGAGAATAATAATTCTTAAAATAAATTAGCTAAAAAACTTAAGTGTCGTACACACCCCAAGGTATGGCTTCAAATTCAGTAAATACTTTTACAGAAGGATTTGACAAATTGTTATCAAATATTTATGAAAAGTATTTGTACTATCAGGAGTATCAAAAGTTAAGCTATTATTAGAAATTACTTGGTGCTAAGGCATACAAGTTGCATAGCAGCAGTACACTCCCACAGTTTTATGAAGAGTTAAGGGAAAACAACATCTTTTTTTTTTTTTTTTTTTTTTTTTTTTTTTATTCAAAACAGGTATGGGTGCTTTTCCAAACACCATTATATATCCCACATCTATGAGGAATCAGTATTCAGGTCCAAATGACAAGTTTTCTTCTAGTCTATTTTCACTTGGACTGTGTGGGCTCTCTTCATAACCTTGATTTAATACAAATCACAGAACATGTGGAACCACATGTGTTTTCCTGACTTTCTTAATTCTGGATTTAAATATTTTTGTTTTAACTGGTACACAGTACATGATGTAATACATTATTACCACTACAAAAATTGCCAGAAACCACCTCCTGTATATCCTGCCTGCCTTTTCCAATCTTCTTCCCCACATCCCCTCTGCTGCAAAATACTCTGATTCACCAGGACTTTCAAATGGTACATGTGGTAAGTGCTGTATGGTAAGAACCACAATTTCCCTCTTGCAGAGAGCTGTAGGTTGGTTGTAAGAAAATTTTTAACAATAGGTAAGTGATAAAACTAGAGTTACCCATCCTGACTCTGTTTTATGGCTTTAGATCATTAATTCACAGGAGAATTAACTGCTTACAAAACCTTTTAGACAAGAAGAAATCCTCTAGAAAAAATATCTGGGTAATATCAGATTTACATGAGAAGAAGAGCAAATGAAAAATGCACCAATGTATTCTGAGAGATAGTTAGAGAAAACTTCTTCAAGAGGCTTCTTCCTGGGAGTGTGATATTTCTGTATTTACATATTCCATCAGGTCCAGCAAAAAATTCAAACCTTATCTACATCGTAACAGCCTACGCAATCAAAGAACATTAGCAAAGATGCTAATACTTGTTTCCTTGAATGCAAATTGGAAAGCTGCAATTTTTCACATCAGATAATGTCACACCACCAGTCAGTCATGCACACAATCACACTTTATCAGCTTTATCACCGGACTGGGGTCCTGCAATTAATAATGGTAAATAAATCCCACCACTCTTCTGCGACTTAAATGTGCTCAGCAACTTCCACAACTGCACACTAAGCACAGGACCAAACAGGGACAGAGTCTACCCTAGGCTGCTGTTGTTTAAGAAAAATAATGTTCTTCAGTTACTTTAAGTTATTCATATTCTTCCTACAGAACTTAATACTACATTTATATCATAGACACCATTAGCTTGCCTGGAAAATCCCTTAGGCAAAGTCTTACCTTACATGGAGGAGACAAATTAAACCCAAGTTTGCAGTTTGAGACTTCCTTTTTTCTTCTAAAGATGAATTTATTTCTTTTCAGTTCAGTACCTCTGTGCTCTCTTCTGACCTAATTTTGTCTGTGATAAATGCCAGAGTTTCAGTGGAGTCACTTGAGCTTCTGTAAGAAAAGAACTGAAGTAAAAATGAATGCACTCAACATTCCTGCTCTGACAGATTGCTTGACAGGACACTAAAAGCCATGCAAGGCTATAGGTGAGGTAAAGCCCCAGAACTGCCATTCTTTTAGACAAAATCGCATTTCAGTTTTCTGCTAATTACTCTGTACTAACATAACAAAGTTAAAGCTCATTCAGACTAAGCAGGTCTACAATTTGCACAATTTGCCTGATACAGGCTGTTTTATAAGACTTATTCTCAGGGTATTGCATGACCAGAAGACATTCAAATTAAATTTCAGCCTTGTTTAGACAGGAGAAAGACAATATATGCTTTCTACAGAGAGGCACTGCAAAGCACAGCCAGCACAGAAGTTTCTCAATTTAATTACTTTCTGTTCCTCCCCTATCCAATCACCTTGCTGGGATTGTTTTTCCCTTGTTGATGGAGGGTCAGCAAACTGCACGGAAGTCTGAGCACAGGTGCACCTGCTCTTGAAGAAATGGGCAGAGAACAGCCACAGAAGGTGCAGGGAGGCTTCCCATCGAGCCCTTCCAGGGGGATCCCAAGGTGTGTCAGGGGACCTGCCACAAAAGTCCACACTGCAGGATAAGGCAGACAAGACAGCTCAGACCCCACAGGTATCAACAACATTAAAAGGGCTCTACTGGCCAGTCAAAAGCTCTTGCAGCCCCATATCCTGTCCCAAATGCTATCCTAGGGGTAACACAGGCAAGCACACCATGATCTTTGCTCTACTGTTTTTGCTCCCAGCTTCCAGCACCCTGCAGCCTTGGGGCTTACTGAGACATTTCTTTCCAGGCCTACAGCAGGGCTAAAGCCCTCCTGGATTTATAGGGCTCATTTAGCACTACCTCAAAAATAAAAGTCCCTCATAGAGCAAAGAATTCAGCTGGAGGAAAAAACTGAAGAAATTAGAGCAGATCATCTCATCACCACCTAACACATTTAGGAAGAGGAGTCTTTTTCTGGAAACTGAACCAAAGCATGTGACACCTTATGAAGTAGTAGGTGGGAGGCCAACAATTAAACAATTGTGACTATATGTTATACAATCTTAAGCCTTCAGATGATGTAATAAAAACATTTTTAAATGTTTGCTTACAGCAGAAACTTAACCAAGTTGGGATATTTTAATACCATGATCACTGATTCACTGCAAATGCTCCAAAGTAGTTTTAACTTCCCAGAAATTATGCAGGTATATTCTGAACTCTCAGTTTGTTGAACAGGCAAATGTTTTGTTATGCAGGATCAAGGAATACCCAGTTTCATCTTCTGTTATCAAGAAAAAAAACCCAAAAAAACCAAACCATACTTTACCTGAAGCATATGAGAACAAAAACTGGCTGTTTAAACTGCTAATGAACATTTGCTTCATATCAGATAAGCAAGAAAATATATTTACCAGAAGAGCAAGCTTTCCTCTGCTCCATTTTTTCCTAGTGTCTCCTCAGTTCTCTGGGAGAAAAAAAAACCAAACAAAAACACCCCAAACCCTTTTTTAAGAAATAGGATTATCAGATCTTTAAACTAGTAGTAAAACACAGTATTGTAGACATATTAAGAGTAGTGTTTCCCAAGCCTATGTGATAAAATCTCTCAATGTCTTTAAATTATTGACTGAGGCTCTAAAAAGCCAATATTTAAAAGCACAATTCAAGTCTGACTTTCAGATGCCCAAGTGAACAGTTGAAAAAAACCCACAAACCAGTATTTAAAACAGTACAGCCACAGCTCCTCTGCACTCCATTACTGTTAGAAGATGGGTACATTCACATGAGCACCATAAAACTGCACACCCACATTGTTTAGGCATTATCAAAACTTGCAGATCTACATAAGGGGAACAAATTTCTGAAAGCATTTATAGATCACATTCTTGTTTTTAAAGGAAGAACAGATAGTTTTCCTGCATCCTACTGCTTAAACACTTCTTCATCTCCTAGAAAATATTTAGATTTTCAAAGGTTTACAGAAATTTAGTGTTTTTCGCCAATGTCAAGGACACTAAGGTGCTTAGTGAAGTAGTGTCTCTTTTGAAAGCTTACCTTAAATTAAAAAGAAAATGTGAAAGGCATAGACATAAATGTAGCAATCATTAGTACTTTTTCCCACCATTCTTCTCCATTTTTTTCACGGTACTTAAATGCCTAAGCTGAACAAAAGCAACCTGATCATGTAAAAAATTATACTTAGGAGACAGACAGCTGTAAAAACCAAAACTAAAACAAAATAAACAAACAACTCCCCCCAATACCAAACAAAAAAAACACACCAAAACAAGAGAAAAAGATGGGGTATGACTGGGCACCAAAAATACTTTGCAGAAATGAAAGTTAAAAACCTCAGTGCTTCGTTAACTTCTAATAGCAAAGTAACAGCATTTATTTTCTAATGATCTTTTCTTACATTGAGAAATATCATCTTGTATAAGTAAAAAGTAATAGTAATCAGAGTACCAGCCATAGAAAATACAGCAGCAATATAGCCATAGTTTCATATTGCTGCTGTTACACATTTTCTCAGTTTTGGTGCTCCTATTATAAACACTTTTTACCTTTGAGTTTTGTCTTTGAATTTTTCTGGCACTTTAAACTTTTCCTCAAAGTGCTGAAAGGATTTTAGAAAAAGCAGCTGGGACTACACCAGAGAAGGGAAAATAAACTCGTATTTTACATGTGTGTCTAATGTTGCTCTTTGCCTTCCATGATTATAGAAAGAACAGGATTTCCAAAACTAGTATTCAAAAATTGCTTGTTTCCTGCACTTCCAAACCAAGCAGGGCATTTAGCTCTGAAGACTGGAGAGGGGATTTAACGGAGTACATTCAGCACTAATTTGTAGAGCAAAATGGTAATAATTTTTGTCAATATTATTATTTACAAGGAGCACATGGCACCAAAAGCTTTCATGGCTAAAGACTGCTAAGGCCCATCCTCCTTACTTATCAGTCACTGGAGTCCTGGTGAAGCAATGGACCTTACTATTAATTGCAATTATTGCAGTAATTGTATCACTGCTACCAGCAATTGCGCAGCACAGTGCTGAAGATGTTTTGCGAGGAAGCATCCCCTGTGTGAAAGCATCTCCTGTGAGCCTCTCTAGTTTCATCATCACTACCATGCCAGCAACTCTCCATTCAATTTTGTTTCCTCTCAACTTCCCAGGGATCATGGGATGGGAGTTGTTTATTGCAGACTTCTTCATTCCACCTGTTCCCCAGAGGAACTAGCACAGTGGTTTGATTTACTACGAGACCCTGAGAGCAGCTCAGCTGGGCAGAGCACTGTGCTAATAACACCATGGCTGTGGTTTTGATCCCTGCCCAGGCCATACACATAATAGCTGGACTTGCTGATTGATGGTTTTGGGTCCCTTCCAACTCACAATATTCTGTGCAATCTGAAACAGGACTGAAAGGACTGGAAAGCAGCTCATTCTGACATGAGTGATGACAGAAAGCCTCTTCCCCTCTTCTTCCTTCAACAAGAAGTACATCTAAATAAGGACTAAAAGCTGGATCCTAGTATGAGTTGCCACTAAATGGTCATTTGAGCAAGGGTGTTTTGCATTGGTATCCAAGTGGCTGCTGCTGTTTGTGCAGACTGTGATCCATGGTAGCCATGCAAAAAGCCACACACAAAACACTTCTGATCTCTGGAATCTTACAGTTCACTAGGAACACAAAGGCTTTAGCAGAGAGGAAAAAAGGTACAAATTAGAAGCTGAAAATGACAGCTTAAGTCCACTTTTCTCTTTAGTATTTACCCCCAAAAATAACTTCATTGAAGTTCCATTTAGCACAGAACTGGCTAATAGGTGAACAACTCCCTATGGTGCACTCACTCCAGTAATTTTAATATGAGAATAATAAAGCTTAATTTTAATTGACTTTGATGTTACAGTTACCCTAAAATGAGTAATATTCTGCTTTCAACTTAATCATAAGTAATATTTTCTTTATAAATTGACAATATTATTCAAGACTTGTGATGTGAATATATCAGATACTGGGTTACTAACATTCTGGAGAGTATTACTTCCACACAGCACTCTAAAACCTGGACACTTGCATTTGATCTATGATCTCTATAGATTTTTTCAGTTTCTTTTATGCTTTTTAGTTCATTACTTTTGAAAGTGATTTTTGAAAGTATTAATTTTTCAGAAGTCGAAACAAAAAAAACCAAAAAACTTCAATGTTATTTTAAGGCTATGTGCTTGCAGAGGTTTGAGTAGCTTTGAACTAATATATTGAGCATCAGCTTTCAAGGTGGAACTACCAAATCCTTGCAATCAAATCTGTGGGAGTGGCAGCCTACAGCCATCAAGGACCTGTTAAAACGCAAGTTTGAAGGGCTTTGCCTTCTTCTGAATACACAGGATATTCCATATTCTCCTTTGTGGAGGAAGAATAGCAATAAGCACACAAACACATGCATACCTTTACATCTATTCCTACACTCATTTGTGCCAATCCCAGATTACACACAGCAGCTGTTCTGTCTGATCTATAGGAGGAGCAGATTAAGACTGGCTTGATAGCACATATTCAAGATTTTTGGCTTTAAACATATTTTCCATTTTCCTGAGTGGGAAAGAAGTAACATTCAACCAGCTTTGCTAGAAGCTTGCAGTTGTAGAAGGAAGACAGCACCCCAAATAGAAATACAGTTCTCAAACACATGGCCCAACCTTATCCTTCTTCTATTTCTGCTCAACTTCCTTTCCCTACACTGGGGAGGACACATCTTTCCCCACTCTGTCTTTTAAAATTTAAAGATGCTCAAGATCATTATTCACTCTTACCAGCACTGATTTTACTACACTAACAGCAGAACTTTTCTCTCAGATGGGGTTTCAAGAACATATTCTAACACAAACCAGAAGGTGATGATGAGACTACACATCCCCAAGTCTTATGTCGTTCCCTGCCTCGAGTGAGTGTCAGGTCCAATTGCTGCAGGGTTGGGTTTGCTCTAGGGTACCTGCTCATAAACCACGACTTGGCTCTCCAAAATTGAAACCACATTTCCAAGAAGCATACAATCAATCTTGCAGAGGTGGAATAGGGCAGCAATCTATTTTTCATGCTTTTATAACCCCTCATGACAACATATCACATTAAGATTTTTTACAAGTGTGTGTCATTTCAGACTGTACAGGTCACAACTACACATTTCCAGTGAACGCTTCCATTAGAGCACAAACTCGGCTGAATGAACCCCACAGATGACTTACAAGCCTTGATATGTGAGGGGTGGATACCACTGCACTATCTTAGTTTTAACACACAGGACAACTAATCAGTTCAGAAATCTCCCAGTACATTCTAGAAAGAGTTTAGCAAAAACAAGAACAAGGACCATAATGGCAAAAAAAAAATTTACCGCATGTGCTGGTTCTGCAGCGAGACACCAGTATAGCTGGAAATAACATAAAGTACTGGGGGGTTTGAGTTTGTATTAAGAAATTTGCCCTTTTTATTTTACTTCTTCCACCACTGTAGGTACTCCATTAAGAAAAATTCCATAGCCTGCAATTTCATAGCTACAGG